AGACCATTCGACTCAGCACCCAGAAGACTACAACTGGTGAAAATTTGATTTTAGGGTATACTTCCCCTTTAACTCCCTCTCTATTTTGCCAGCAAATTGAGATGCGGAGAATTAATGCAATCACAACGAGTCACCGTGGTAATCTTACCGCGATCACAGGAGTTGCCATGGTAATCCTCGTTGAACGCACACTTTCTTGTAGTTCCAGCAGCACCCCAGCTACACCCTTTACTTACCTGCAGGACACATTGATGATGACAGCAAGTGTGCTGAAGACATGAGATAGGACGAGAGATAATTGTATTGGGAACAAAATCGTGCTCGGACTAAGGACAATAACAAGCCTTTGTTGTTTAGGGCGCGGTCACACATGCACTTTTTTGGCGGTTCCGCCAACGAGTACCCCCCCCCCCCGCCGTAAGTTTCGCTTTGGCGGAAAGTTTGGATTTCGCTACGCCAAAAAAATGCGAGCGGATTCTCCGCTTTCGCGGATCCGCTTTGGTGGAACCTGCGTGGTGATGGCTTTGGAGTTTGGTGTGCTACTTCTGCGCTGAGTTCTGGTGTTGTTTGGTTGCCGTTTGGTATTCAGTTTTCATATTGTTCTTCTTTGCCAATGTACTGTACGTTCTGGAGATCTCGCAAACGATACTGCATCGTTATGAGTGGATAGTTGGTGAGGGAACCCGTCTCCCAACTCATTCTTCTTCTTCTTCTTTTGGTTTTAACTCGCCACACCGGCTTCTAAAGGGCCGGGGGTGGGTGTTCGCCAACCTAGTCGAGCTTTTGTTCCCTTTTTTTTCGTTTTTCTAGTCTACTTGCTTGTGCTGCGCCGCGCTGGAGCGAGTCTATCAGTAGATGCTTTCGCCGCATAGAGCTACTATTGCACAAAGCCACAACACTGCGCGCTGCCATTTGCTGTATGCTTTCGCTGCACCTAGCTGCTGTTTAGCTGCACGGCGCCACAACACAACTTCACTACAACAGTCTCGTCCACAACTTCACTACAACAGTCTCGTCCATATTGCACTACGCTGAGTACTGGCCTGCTCCCGCTCTGAAGAGCTTTTCAGCCTTCACCGTTTTTGCTCAACCCCAGGCATTGGCCCACAGTGGCATCCACTTCCTTTTTTCTTTTTCTTTTCTCCTTTTACTTTCTCCGTCACTGCCTAAAAAACAGTCGAGACGGTTTTTTTACCCACCAGTTTTTATTGGTGCGAATTACTTTCCTTCTTCTTCTTCTTCTTCTTCTTCTTCTTCTTCTTCTTCTTCTTCTTCTTCTTCTTCTTCTTCTTCTTCTTCTTCTTCTTCTTCATATCTCCTTCAGGAACGTGTTTGGCTGGTACCCCCAATGACAAGACGGGCGCGTGTGAGTGCCACAAGAATTACTCCGGAGTTATTTGTGATCACAGTGAGTTTCCTTGTCTTGTTTCTCTCCCACTCCTCTCTCTCCCTCTTCTCTCTCTCTCTCTCTCTCTCTCTCTCTCTCTCTCTCTCTCTCTCTCTCCTTGTCTCTCTCTCTTTTTCTCTCCTTCTTTCCTCTCCTTCTTTCTCTCTCTCTCTCTCTTTCTCTCTCTCTCTCTTTCCCTCTCTCTCTCTCTCTCTCTCTCTCTCTCTCTCTCTCTCTCTCTCTCTCTCTCTCTCTCTCTCTCTCTCTCTCTCTCTCTCTCTCTCTCTCTCTCTCTCTCTCTCTCTCTCTCTCTCTCTCTCTCTCTCTCTCTCTCTCTCTCTCTCTCTCTTTCTCTCTCTCTCTCTCTCTCTCTCTTTCTCTCTCTCTCTCCCTCTCTCTCTCTCTCTCTCTCTTTCTTTCTCTCTCTCTCGCAGCTGCGCATAACATGTTAGTGTGTGTGTATATATAGGTGTGTGTACGTGTCTATACGCGTGTGTACATGACCAGTCATGGCAGTGAGGAAGTGGGTCGGTGGGTGGGTATATATGTGTACGTGTGTGTGTGTGTGTGTGTGTGTGTGTGTGTGTGTGTGTGTGTGTGTGTGTGTGTGTGTGTGTGTGTGTGTGTGTGTGTGTGTGTGTGTGTGTGATTGTGTTTGTGCGTGCTGAGCAAAGAAAACCCAGAGAGAATCGGTCACTTTGCCGAAGGAATACCATTTTCAAAAATCCAAAATACTATATACTGTAATTTTCGCAAATCCTTTGCTTCTTGTAAGAGTTGCACACTGTAGTTTTAAGTGAGCAATTTTCCACCAAATTCTCACGATCATTCATACTCAGTGTCCACACAAAGCCTATCTTTAGCAGCTGTGCCAGCACCAAGAGCATATCAGCAATAGTGTGCGACTCAATGCTCCTCCAGCAAACGACAAAACGTTTCCATCACATCCGAAGGTAGGACGATTTGAACCACTGATGCCGCCATGGTTTGCCGGAAATCAGAGCACAAAGAATTATTGAATCCTAGCTTCGTTAGGAAAAGCAGAACAATGCACAGTCGATCCATCATGCTCTGAACGCGATGAGCTGACACCATTATCTATGAGACAAACGCGGGAAAGCACACGCACTTGATCGTTCTTCTGCCGAAGAATGACACAATAAAAAATTCTGCCGTGGGTGAATCTATCGGAGCTCGAGATAGGAGTTGCACACTCTTGCCCATTTTTGATCTACACGTTTGCATAGAAAATACTTATTAAGGTGGATGCATTCTGTTTTTTTCTACTCAAAAAGTAGATTCCATCCTTCTCTACAGGCTCTACCAGGTTTGAAGCTGGTAGAGGTCGGTAGAAGTTAGGGTTGGTTCACATATCGCCGGTACGCGCCGGGAGTCATCGGGATCGGGCCACTTGCAACCTCTCCCGGCGCATTGCGATTCTGTGAACCAGCGGAGTCGTAACAAAATCATACGGTAAAATATCGCAAAGGACTGCCGGCAAAGTTGGACAGTGCTCAACTCTTGCGATCTGCCCCGGCGCCGAGCCCGTAGAATTTTGACCAAAAGCGGTTTGTGAACCGTTCGCGCCGGTGATCGCCGGCTGCCGGGAGCCAGACTTTGTCAATTTTCAAATCAACACTTGTCCTACATTTTCCTGAATTGAAGTTAGAGAGCCTGGCACGAGGAGAACATGGATGCAGTGAATGGGATTTTCGGTCTTTGACCACTTGCTGTTGAGCTGATCTACTCACCTCCCACCGATTTAGGAGCTGCATCTGCGCCTTTATCCTTGAAGGGTGGTGGCGTTCCTACGGATGCGGAAAAACTCGGTTTCCAGCAGAGTCTCACGCGAACCGTGAATAAAAGCTGGAGAGGAGGTCCGCTCTCCATTCTTGTAGTCTCTTCAAGGTGGCTAATAAGTCAGCATACCAACCCGTCCTTCTCCGATGATCTGCTTGACTGTTGTCCAACTCATGAGACAAATACAATTGAAACGAATGAAAAATATGATAGATACATTCGCAAGTTCTTGTGACTTCATCAACGTTTGCAAGCATAATTTCGACACAACGCTTACTAGACTGCAACAAAATGTGTAGAAGTAGTTTCATGATCTCCAGTAAAAGGTAGCACCAAGTGGCCTTCACCGAAAGACCTTGAACTACTGAAGAAACAAAGAATGCAAGCTTCAATTGGCAAACCTGTCGTAGCATTTGGGCACATTCTGCACTATTTTGTAGTAGATTTGGTACTCGAACCGTATGTGCAACGGATCGGGAGCTGGCTCACCGCCGATGTCTTGCGGTGCCGATTTTGCTTAAGTGAACCAACCCTTAGTAGAGGTACGGGAGTTTCAGCATGATCAAGGAGTTGTACACAGCTTCATAGAGAAGAAAACGTTCACGTACATATCGTGAAAACTACTAAATCCAGTAGGACAGCGTTCGTGCACTTACCTCTTCCTTCTACCTCTATCAGTAGAGTGACTCTACTCTACTCATGATACTACAGTCGGACCTCGTTTATCCTGGTCCCTCGCCATCCGGAAGAAAATCGCTGGTTACCGATGTGCAGCATACCGGTATGTTATGCATACAACATATCCGGACCTCGCGATCCGCATACCGTTGCATGATTTTGTGTACAAACTGGTTAAAATGTGTAGAAAAAGCTTCGTCGTGTCCGGTTGCATGTGGCTTGCAGAAGCTAGAATCAGGGAGTTGTACAAGCAAATGAGATCCTTGACCTGCTGGGTGCATGCGGACAACACTCATTTGCATGCACTTGTCATTTTTCTGGCTTGTTTTACATACCGTGCACGCTAGTTGTACTGCATAGGACCCGTCTACATGTATGTACGATGTCACTGCTTTTGACATGCCACATGCATATACAGTATGTGTGTTCAGTTATCCAGTTCCCTCGCCTATCCGGATATTTTTGTGGAAAACAGATGTGTGCGGTTAAGCGAGGTCTGATTGTACAGTCCTTTCATCGGAAACAATCCCGCTGGCTTTTGAAAGTCCGGTTTGGGCCGAATTGAGGATCAAAAATCCACTTTAAACCTCAAAATTCTGGTTTTGGGATGTGCTTCTCCGTAAATTTGGCCATGGCATACCTGTCCTAATTTTGTAAAACCTGTCTGAATTTCTTTTTCCCTGTTCTCGGACTTTTCTGGCCTCAAATGTGGCAAGGAATAATTACACGGGTCACACAATGCGGGATGTACTGTTGCTTTCACAATATCTACAACTACCGGTATATGCGGGAGACACCAAAAGTTAGGGTGCCAGTTTCCAAAGAATGGACACCATTATTTTGACCTTGAATACACATGTATGGTACCTCGGCTATTAAAATTACAGACTTTACGGCCCCTTTGGGGGTCCGCTACACTGAAGTTTATGCACTGTACTCGAATTTTGACCTGTGAAAGAATCAGTCATGATGGCATGCGTAGATTATACATTTTGCTAGCATTGATGGTCTCTGTCTTAACCATTCTGTTGCAGTTGAATGCCGTGGAAAAAAACTGCGATTGCTGTCCACGAGCGAGCTCAATCGGGAACAAGCAATTGCTGGCTGCGAAGCACTCGATGGAAATAGCGGAAAATGGACGCTGGTGTCCAGGGAGTTTCGCCCGTGCACCAAGCTGTTCATGCAGATGATTGGCTCTAATGCTAGCCAACCGCTGCTGGAAAGATTCTCTCCTGAAGGCGGTGTGCACATGAGAAACGCCAGCTCCACTTGGTTTGAAAACCCTTCCAATGCTCGCATTACATTCTGCATGCTCAGTAAGTAAATGTAATGGCTTTTTCTATTCTTCTTCTTCTTATTATTAAAAGCATGTCCGCGAAGGTGGCGGGGGTGCCACTTTCGCTTATGTCATTCAGGATTGATGTCTGAAGAGTAATACGATACAATGAAATGACAGAAGTGACGTCAACAAAAGCCGTTAGCTCCTATTCTGCAATAAAAAATGCCTCACACATCATAGAGAACAGTTAGCTCTTTCCAAAGTTTAGTGTACAGTTCTGGCGAGGGCCGAGCCAAGTGAACTCCATGATATGCACAGATATATGTTGGATTTGTGTTTTCAATATGATGCAATAAGTGCATACCGTATGCATGAATATTATGCCTTCATCTTTTCTATTGTTTTGAATCTCATTATGTGCCTGTGCTGGCTAATTTTGTCCCAACAGAAAGTCATATCTGCACAATAAAGCAACGTGATTTTGTTGTGACGGGTTTCTATGGGCAAGGAGGATATACGTATACAAGTGCCAAGCAGGTGTGCGAGTCTAACGGACTGCAGTTACTATCGGCAGATGTCGCTAAATGCGCAGCCAGCGACACTGGTGTCTACAGCGGTGTAAAGGCATGGACGTCTGGCCAAACACCGGAGATTACGAACAGCGACAGCAAGAGTCTCTTGACCGGAAATGCTCCCGATGTGCTTTGTCAACGATGTAAGTTTTTGTTCCCGTTAGACGGCCTGGATTGATACGGTGTTTTCCCCATTGTGCAATAACATAATTTGTACAGCCTACAGCCCACACAGCAATGCGCAATGTGCTTACTGATCCCGAGCTTTCGGAGAAATACTTGCCTGAAATCATCTTCTAGCTACTGCTTGCCTTTTTGAATAAATGTACTTTAGAAGCAGAATTGAAAGAGCATTCCATAGGGAATTGCAGAATAACTCTGGAAAAAACTCAAATCCTTGACTAGTTCTTGGCCAAACGCGGCATACAATATACTCCTGACGTGTCAAACACCATTGTGCCGAAAAGTATTTGAGCCAGAGCACGCTAAAATATGACCACAGACCAAAAATTCGATTTTCAGTTTTTTGTTTAAAAATAATCTAACACACCTAATGTTCACTGTCTGAAAGTTTTGGATTGATCGGACATGTCTAAGTGTTGCTACAATGGCATTATATGCAGCACTGTTGAAATGGTGAAATTCTATGTACAGCAATGGGATTGTCATTTTTGCGCACAATTGATATGCCCCTTGGTTCATCCTTTCCAGGTCCATTCCTCTGTCCAGGGTCTTATAGCATGAGCTGACAGGTACTCAGCCACATCCAAATTGTCTATAGGCAGCTGAGCTGGGTGTCCGAAATGCCTCCTGTTTGGAGCACCACTGGAGAACCGCCAGCGAAAACACGGTCAACATCTGTAGCTGGCCGAAGAAGTTGGCACTCCATGTCCTCTCCATCACACTCCACCTCTACTTTCAGATATACAGTATACACTGCTGCACACAGTCTTCCTCACCATACTAGACGTCGCACTCATATTCCCCACACCAAAGCCCATCTGCACACAGTTTTCTCCGCTCGCCAGAGAGTACTGCTTTCGTTGCATACTGCTCATGCTAGCGATGTTCCGCATAAGGGTACTCAAATTATCGACTTGAGCAAGTTGAGGGAGCAGCAGAGTCCATTGATTGTTTTTGCACTTGCAACCAATACTGGCATTGTCCCGGATATGTGCAGCGATGTCCATTCTGGCCAAATCATCGCCCGACTCACCTCCCAAGTCAGTGTCGATGCCAATCGCTTGCCAGGTTGTCATTAGAGTAGAATTCCTCGTCACTGCAGATCGTGGGACTACCAGCATCAATTCTTTTTACGCTCGATGAAAGTGTCGCCCTCAAATGACTCTTCGCTGTAGACATCATCGTCTTCCTTCTGTTTCCGACCCGAATCCTCAAAATATTTTATCCTGCGCATGGAGTGCGATGATGTCGTCTTCTTCCGCTCCGCAGTACATTACTACTACTAGGCTCTTCTGTCGATACATCGATGACGATCAGTTTAGGCGACTCAGCGCAACATGGAATACAAACTCAAACAAATAAACTTACTTGCAACAAAGAATTGCATCCGGAACAGTCCAGTCGACCGAGGAGAACAACAGCGACTCGCGTTGCACTGCTCGTCGTATTTTTTTGCCGCTGAATTCAAATCGCGATTATCTCGACTTTTTCAAAAAAAGCTGTGGTCATGTTTTAGCGCGCTCGGGCTCATTTCTTTCTAGCCGAAGTTTTTCATAACCCAAATGCACTCATCCCGTACAAGCAACGTGACATGACTGGCATGTGGCCGATAGTTTGTAATCAACAAAAAGTGTTCGTTATAAAGGGTCAGTTTTGTATGGGTTCAAACAGGTATATGAAAACTGGTTTGCTATAACACGAAACTCGCTATGTACAAGTTCGTTACAGTGGAGTCGACTGTAGTATCTTTTTAAATGTTTTTTAAATGAACTACAGTGGGTGTGGGTGTGTGTGTGGGTGTGAGTGTGTGTGTGTGTGGGTGTGTGTGGGTGTGGGTGTGGGTGTGGGTGTGGGTGTGGGTGTGGGTGTGGGTGTGGGTGTGGGTGTGGGTGTGTGTGGGTGTGGGTGTGGGTGTGTGGGTGTGGGTGTGGGTGTGGGTGTGTGTGTGGGTGTGGGTGTGGGTGTGTGGGTGTGGGTGTGGGTGTGTGTGGGTGTGGGTGTGGGTGTGGGTGTGGGTGTGTGGGTGTGGGTGTGGGTGTGTGTGGATGGGAGGTGTGGGTGTGGGTGTGGGTGTGTGTGGGTGTGTGTGGGTGTGGGTGTGGGTGTGTGAGTGTGTGTGGATGGGAGGTGACATTTTGGTTGCAGAAAACAATGCTGGTGTGGCACAGATACCGACGTCTACAGTGCTCGACAGCTGTATTCTCTTTCAGGGGTGCAGTCGACTCCACTGCAATTACCCAATCTTGATGGTGGCCTGAGGCCGAAATATCGATTTCATTTAATTTATCTCGCAGTCTAGAGAACGGTGCATGTGGCCTCTAATTTCCTAATACTTTGAAATTCTCAGTGAAGTCCAAATTTGAAAGTCCAAAGATTGACTTGTCTTTTAAACTCGCTACTGTCCATCGGCGAACTGTAAAAGCCATTATTCTAACGAGGCGCATATATAACGATTTCCCAAAATTGACTGGTTTACGTGTAGCAAAGGTAACGATTCTCACTCATTCTCAACGCTCACTAGACCAGTATATGTATCGATTCTGTATAACGATTTTATCTTAACGACAGATTTCTCCTCGTTAACTCATTAGAGTTAGCACTTCGTTATATATATGGCTTTTACAGTACTTTAAACTGCTCTAATCACTACAGGAGCATTGTCAGCTACATGTAATTGAAGAAAGCCCAGGCTGCACTACGCCCTTGGGTAGTTTTGTCTTGCACGTGAGGTTCTGTGTGTGTGTGTGTGTGTGTGTGTGTGTGTGTGTGTGTGTCCCTGTGCACAGCAATTCCAAACTGTCCGACTGTGAGAATTCCTAACGGGTTTCTGAACATGTCCTTTGTTGCCGACAAGGTTTCGGCAACATGTGACAGCGGATATTTTCTGACCGGATATGCCAATTGTACGCAAAATGGCGAATGGGTATATAGGGGGCTATTGTGCCACAGCCGTAAGTTGTTGTTGTATACTTTATTTATAGTGGAGATGATGCCTAATAACAATGGACCCATCGGTTGACAGCATGCTACAAGGCTGAGGACCACTGAGCAGAAGTGCTCTCTGCATGTAGCTACTACTGAACCAGCCGGCATTTCTGGTACGACTACAATTACGAGCTGCACGTTTGCACAACCTTCCATTGAGGTCTGCGTAGGCCCAGCTGCATGCCCAGTGACTGTGAAGAGCGCGAAACGAAAAAGCCGCAACAGAACTCCTGCTGCCCCTACTGTGGGAGAAGCTCTTTCCCAGTACATTGTATATTATATTATAACACGTTATTTTCGATGTAAGGGGCTGTCCATATTAATTTTATCGATATTTATATGAAGAGAAAAAGTTTCGTTTATGGCTTGGTGGGTGGGTGAAGGAGAGTTTCGTTTAGCAAAATATTGATATGTGAGACATCAATGCATTCTGGTTGTCAAGTCAATCTATTTTTTTGTTCAGGTGGGAGGGGGGGGGGGGTCCTAACCAAGCTTTTTCGTTTCGTGAAAATTATCGATAATGCCGGATGGCCCCTAACTTATAAATTTCGGTAATTACAGTAGAGAAACCAGGCACCTTAAATCAGATTACATGTAAATGGCACTAGAGTATGCACTGTATGTGAAGGGAACCCTGCTCACCTTATTCTACAGTACACCTGAAACCTGGCAGGTCCCTGGCACCGAACTTATACTACACTTACAATTACATGTTATCCAGTATAGCCGCTGCTCAAGCAGTGGACCAACACACCAGTGCAGTGTGTGTGTGTAAACGTTTTCAATGCCACATTTCCTGATCCGAGACATAAATCTACGGAAAGTCGGAAAGCGATGTCGGATACCCAACGGCACAGGGTTTGAATGAAAAATAACTTATCGCACGAAGAGCCTGGAGCGTGAATTTCGAAAACGTAAACATCAGGACATGGGAACCCACTACAAACCAGCAATTAGGAAATGTCTACTGAAAACCTGTACAAATAATAACTCACAGGTCATCCAGCGGGGCATGTGTAAAGAAACCAACTACTTCAAGAAGTAGTTTAGCGCAAATGTAAATTATGTGATTAGGCCATGGTAAAAATTATCTTTGATTCTCAAGTACGCGCGCACCGATTTTTGGCGGCGCACCGACAATTTTTTTAAATTTCTATGCATGCATATGCGCGCATGAAAACGGTCAATGCGAAAGGCATGAATCAGGGAGTAGTAAAATACCAGTATTTTTCTACTCTCTGGCCTGAATATATGAACATGTGACCATGTACATATGTGTGACCCTATCTTTGGAAATAAAAAAAATTGTGGGAAATTAAATAAAAAATCACTCGCTCGCACCGATTTTCACAGGCGCATGACCTGAGAATCAACTTTATTCCCGTAGCTATGCAGAAGACGTTACTTCAGTAACGTCTGGCGCTAGCCAGGGTCCACACCGCTTTAATTCCCGTAGCTATGCAGAAGACGTTACTTCAGTAACGTCTGGCGCTAGCCAGGGTCCACACAGCTTTAATTTGGTATTTGCGTGTTTGTTTGTTTGTGTGTTTGTGTCACGCCTGGCGCTATCCCGTATCTGTCCCGTACCGTACCATCAAACACAGCTGGCCACATACAGCTGGCCGCAATATTCAAATAGGGCTTTCAAACGCAAGATCATAACGTGAAGCAACTTGGAAGAATGAGTATGAATGCGAAGTGTATCGGGGGATGCATGCAGGGCGATAGTGCGGGTTCGAATCCCAGGTTATGTCTTTTAAAAAAAGGAGAAATTTATAAGAATTTATAACATCTCTATGCTTTTTTTGTCTAGGTCATCAAGGCAAAAAAGCATAGCGTAGGGCCCTGAGCTTCCAAGCTCTCTCGTTTTTTACCATGGCCTTACGTAGATGTAAGTCAACCCCTTTAACCAACCGACCTAAAATATGTAGGGAACGACCACCCGACATGAGCTGGTCATAACGATCCAAATCTCACTTTTTGAGACAAAAAAGTAGGGCTTTTTTGAAAGGAAGAGTATCACTGATTTCATTGAAAGTATAAAAAAAACATCTTGTGAATATCTGTTGACCAAATGGGTCCAGAAACATTTTTTACATTTGCGAACATGGCGATAAAATAAATATCCAACTCTTTCAAAGAGGCCGTACCATTGGGTAAGTGAGCACCCCTGGCTCTCGGGCAGGGTGAAAGTCTGGCAGCGCACCAGTATTCTCAGTGTCATTCTCGTCGCTCCAGGATGAAGCGTCGACAGCAACAGCTGAAGCAGGTGCAACATGTTGCGCTCCTCTGCCACGACCTCTGGCTCTCCCAGCACCACGTCCACGGCCAAGCCCACAAACAAGACCACGACTATGCCCGCGCCTAAGACTCAGTTGTTCGTCGACCTGTTGGCCTCTCCTCATAATCTTGAACTGAACTGAACTGTCAGTTGGGGTCGCAGTTGCAGACCGATCGTCATTCACAACATGTTCAACTGCATCGTCGTCGACGCTTTCAGTGGTGACAACCTCGTCAAATTCCAACTCATCGCTGTTCTCATAATCGGCGCTTGACTCGCGGCAGGCGTCGGAGCAGTTTCCCTCGTCCAGTCGATCGAAGAACTCCAAAGCCTCATCAGTCTGCATTCATTGTGTATTAACCCAAACAGACTTTTTCACCGTACAGTCAAACCTCATTAGGAGGAACACTGATACGGCGAACGTTCCTTTAGTACGAACTAGGGCCAATCCTATGGTTGGCCAGGCATCATATCAAGTCAAAATCATTTTGTTCATGACGAACTCCTGTACGGCGAAATTTCGTGAAGATGCACTAATTTCAAGCGTGATTTGAACAAAATCAAGGTGTTGTACGAACTTTCGTTCCCCGTGGGTGGGCTGGCTGTAGTTATTTTTCCGATAGTCGAGGCCTCTTGTACTGGCAAACATGTTACAAAGCGGAGGAAATGCTGTCATGACATTGCACATTGTACTTACCTGTTGCTGGGTTATGTTATTAAAAAAATGTTTTACATTTGCTGCAGCATGCACCTTCACATAAATACAATCCATATGATATGCTTATCAATTTTTTTTGTCAGGTCTGGATAAGAAGAACTCCGGATAAGACAAACACACTTTTTTGGTCCCTTGAAGTTCGTCCTAACGAGGTTTGACTGCACTTGTTTTACGCATCACTTCAAGCTCGATTCTCGTGATGATATTGAGCAGGAAGACCTCTCTTTCGTGGTGGTAGGATGACGGCCTGTATCCCAGGGGGTCGCCTGCGAAGTCTCAGCGTTCTACGGTGAACGGTCCCAGAGTTACAATGCACGTATTGTGTGCGAGTCCATCGATCTCTAGAGATCAATCAAGTACGCAGCTAGGGTGCCAGTTTCCAATGAATCCGGGACTGACTAGTTTTAAATAACTCAGTTTTTTAATGTAGAAAGGTAAAGTACACAAGGATACGAGTTAAGAGTTTTTTTTAATGATTTGCATTTTTTCCACTTTGCTGGCTCAATGTTCAAGGACATGCTCGTCTTTCTTTAATCTCTAGACAGAGAGATGGCCAGTGTTTCCAGAGTCAGAAATCTTGCATGCTGGTAGCAACATGTCAAAGTCGGCTGGATAGCACGGCTGTAGTGTGAACTGAAAGCACTCCAAATCATGTGTGCTATCCTTACGAACATAAAAATAAACGCCGTGAAAACAACAGTTTAACAATGTCGGTTACTAAAATCGATTGCGCTGTCGATGTAACATGGACACAAGTCCCAACAAAGCTTTCAATGCTTCAATTATAATTCGAGAATGATCTTCGATAATAATCATTGCGTCTAGTGCAGTTGTGATAGTAGGTCTTTAAATTGACCAATAGAAGAACACGTTTTCAGACCGTATGGTAATGATAACCAATGAGAGTAACCGGAAAACATTAATATAATAATTATAATTATAATTGTTGAAAGGAAAAGGATATATGGAAACGAGTTAAGAGTAACTCTCCACCACTGTAACTAGATACTATATACAGTCAGAAAGTGCAACAACTAGGCACAAAACTGACAGAGTACTGAGCCATTCGACGTCCTGACACCTAGCTTCAACACATTTCCGTAGCGCTAACCGACAGTACTGTAGGAGTTTAGATTTCGGCTTGTACAATTCGTTCTCGCAAAGCTTCCCCCTTCTTAACTTATCTTTGATATTTTTGACCCACCCAAGTTGGGTGGTGTGCTGCTTTGCTGCTTCGAATTGTAGTTAGACCGCTTTGTCAAATCGCCTACTGGTCTCGTCATCGTCCAGTGACAATCGACATTCTTTGTTCCGTTGGGACTGTAGCTTGTGCTCGTTTTCGTTGCGCTTGCCTTCCCCTCTTTGGTCTTTCCATAACCTTGAACCTTCCAAGTTGGAAGGCTGTCAGTTAGCGCTACGGAAATGTGTTGAAGCTAGGTGTCAGGACGTCGAATGTCTCAGTACTCTGTCAGTTTTGTGCCTAGTTGTTGCACTTTCTGACTGTATATAGTATCTAGTTACAGTGGTGGAGAGTTACTCTAACTCGTTTCCATAAATTATGTCCTTTTCCTTTCTACTTTTATTATTGGCTCAATACCCAAGTTTCAAATTATAATTGTTGCTCTTCATTTTTGTTCAATCACTTGAGTGACGACAATCGCTGAAGATAGTCACAAGAAAACGTTCTGGTCAACTCGAGTAGGAATTTACACACATTTTTAAAGGGGAAGTTAAGGCAAAAATTGAAATTTCACCAGTTGTAGTCTTCGGGGTGCTGAGTCGAATGGTCTTGGTCCGAGAAAGCTGAGACGCTCCCTTCCTACTTGAATCCCAATCGAACTCGCGCACTTCCACCGAAACTGGGTGACTGCACCCTACTAGATGGGGATTTGTATGCAAAATGTCACTAAAAGCGCCATTTCGTTCTTATAAAAGCACGGATGACCGCGATTGGCCCATATGTTGTAGTCTTTTGGACGCTGAGTCGACTGGTTTTGGTCCGAAAAGGCTGTGATGCAGCGTTCCTCCTTTATTCCCAATCGAACATGGTTGAACAAGCGGTCACGTGCTCCTGCGTACACCAGTCACCTGGTCACCGTGCCTGCAGGGTACAACTTACTAGCCTGTTTGACCTTTTGTGGGTGCAGTCCTGTCACTCGAGTTGAACTCGAGTTGAACCTTGGTGGGAACGTTGTCGCCTGCTGGCGTGGTGACCAGGTGATTTGGGCACCCAGGAGCACGTGACCACTTGTTCAACCATGTTCGATTGGGAATAAAGGAGGAACGCTGCATCGCAGCCTTTTCGGACCAAAACCAGTCGACACCGCGTCCAAAAGACTACAACATATGGGCAAATCGCGGTCATCCGTGCTTTTATAGGAACGAAATGGCGCTTTTAGTGACATTTTGCATACAAATCCCCATCTAATAAGGCGCAGTCACCCAGTTTCGGTGGAAATGCGCGAGTTCGATTGGGATTCAAGTAGGAAGGGAGCGTCTCAGCTTTCTCGGACCAAGACCATTCGACTCAGCACCCAGAAGACTACAACTGGTGAAATTTTAATTTTTGCCTTAACTTCCCCTTTAACGATTTCATAAAAAAATAAAGGAATGAATTCCGTATTTTCCAGAGCATAAGCTGCACTGGACTGTAAGCCGTGCACCCCATTTTTGCCATGAAATACAGACATCTACCCTATGCTGGTGGATCTAGAGACTCCAAAACTCGGTCGCTCTTTACACATGTGGCAGTTTCTGATGAGACCTGTAAAGTGACCCGCTTCTCTGGCGACTATAAGCTGCTGTGAGTTTGTTGTAATCTTGTAATGTTGTAGCTCTACTTTGAGCTAACAGCTGCTCTACTTTGAGCTAACAGCAGCTCTACTTTGAGCTAACAGCAGCTCTACCTTGAGCTAACAGCAGCTCTACTTTGAGCTAACAGCATCTCTACTTTGAGCTAATTGCTGCTCTACTTTGAGCTAACAGCAGCTCTACTTTGAGCTAACAGCAGCTCTACGTTGAGCTAACCGCAGCTCTACTTTGAGCTAACCGCAGCTCTACTTTGAGCTAACACTTGCTCTGCTATGAGCTAACAGCAGCTCTGCTATGAGCTAACAGCAGCTCTACTTTGAGCTTCAAACCATTTGTACATGTACTTCGGAAATTCTGCTGGATTGGGAGGGTGCTGGATTATCGAATTTACTGCTGGAATGGACATGAAGACGACATTTTTGTTACTGAAAATTAGTGCACTGGTTTATAGAGGGTGATGTTTATAAAGTGGTGGATTGAAGAGGGACAACCTTATGCACATATGCACTGCCTCACTTCTTCAAAACCAATACTGGCTTCAGAATCTATGATCATAAGAGCCAAATGTAGTTTTTTGCCGACCAAGTCTGTTTTATGGATAGCCGTGGCCCGAAAATAGGTTTTTCGTTGCTCGTTTGCCTGAATCAGATTTTATCCCCAATCAAGAGCGGTCCGATACTTTGTGTGTCTGTTTCTATAGATACATGCTGGGGAAAGCAGCTTCGAATAGCTCCATCGCGCAAACAGGTGGACTACATACAAGCCATTGCCACCTGCAAGGCACTCGATGGCAATAGCGGGATTTGGACCCTGATGCCCAGGGAATTTCAATCGTGCGCACAGGTGTTACTGCAAAAGTTTGGCTTCGGAGCAGAGAGTCCAGTGCTGGCCGACTTTGTCAATTCGTATGGAGGTGGTGTCCTGTACAATAATGGCAGCTTTGACCCGACCGGAATTGCTACCATCACGCTCTGCATACTCAGTAAGTACTTGATCTCCTTATGTGCACAATAGGGATAATTCCAAGATTGACCAAAGTGCTCAACACCACAAGGACAGAGCAAAACAACAAAGGCAGAAGAGAACAGACAACAACCGGCCAGGCCATTGTTGTAATGCTGCGTTTCATGCGCACAGCAAAGCAAAGGCAATCCTCAGACAATTTATAATCTGTACATCATTGGGTCACACACTCACCGGGGTATATCCAGGCAAGTATTTTTTTTTGTGAAAGTGCACATGCATACCTACATAGAATTGAAGAAAGCAATAACAACAGCAAGAGAACATATATTAAGTAGTGCAGGTGGAATCCTAAATTACCCCCCCCCCCCTCTCCCCCTGTGCCTACTGCACCCCAGTTTTTGGTGCACTGAAGTGTCAATGAAGCCGAGACCTCAGGTCGGCGGAGATGCTCCAGTTTCACCACCACAGTTGCGTTTGCAACCACCTCTATCATGCAGTATTCTGTTCTCGAGGTTCGTGGTTTCTCGTAAAAAAATCCTGATAATTTGAACCTCAAAATGCCAGGAAAAAATCTTCTAATTATCCAGGCATTCTAATTATCCGGACATGAACCGACAGCACAATATGTACAAGTATGTGAAAATGCTCTCATGGTCACGCAGAGTTGCGCTATGGACCTTATAGTCTGTTTCAAAAAGATTTACAATCAGGTTTGGGTCTTAAAAAGTATGAAGATAAGGGGAATTTGGACAACAAAGTACATAGAATGGCTTGTTAGGACACAGCAAATTGTTCTGTGAAGGTTTCGGAACAATTGGACCAGCCGTTAAGGAGTTAGAATTTCGGCCAGGTTTCAGGCCTTTTCCCATGGTTAACAATTTTCCTAGGAAGCCAGAATCGATTTTTTTATCAAAACCCACGATTTATCCTTTCCTTTTTGGCCAAACAGGAGGTATTTCGGACACCCAGCTCAGCTGCCTATAGACAATTCGGATGTGGCTGAGTATCTGTCAGCTCATGCTATAAGACCCTGGACAGAGGAACTGACCCGGAAAGGATGAACCAAGGGGCATATCAATTGTGTGCAAAAATGGCAATCCCATTGCTGTACATAGAATTCCGCAATTGCAACAGTGCAACATATACTACCACTGTAGCAACACTTAGACGTGTCAGATCAATCCAAAACTTTCAGACATCGAACATTAGGTGTGTTAGATCATTTTTGAACAAAAAGCTGAAAATCGAATTTTTGGTCTGTGGTCATATTTTAGCGTGCTCTGGCTCATGTATTCAACATGCTCCGTCCAACGGAGGTCATGCTGAAAGATTATTCCGAGGTGTTAGTGTTTTTGTGCTACGGTAAGCGGACTGTTCCTGAGGGTGATCTGGGGTAGCTGTTTAGGGGGGGGGGGGTATTGTGGTAGAACGGGAGGATGACTGTTTTCTTTGTGTTACCCAGCAGGTGCCATCTTTGAAGCCAGTCTCCAGCTGCTGTGACACTCTGTTGTAGGTTCCGGGTGCAGTCTTGAAGAGTTGTTGTTGTTGTTGTTGTTGTTGTTGTTGTTGTTGTTGTTTTGAATTCTTTTATTCTCACGATGGCCTGTGGCCAATAAGAGAAAAATAATTACAGGCACGGGGATTGTTGTTGTTGTTGTTGTTGTTGTTGTTGTTGTTGTTGTTGTTGTTGTTGTTGTTGTTGTTGTTGTTGTTGTTGTTGTTGTTGTTGTTGTTGTTGTTGTTGTTGTTGTTGTTTCAAATCTTTATTCTCACGATAGCCAGTTGCCAATAAGAGATAATAGTTTAAGAAAGGAGAAAGAGTGAGGAAGAATTGGGTGGGCAGGGCCTAGTGGTTAATGACTACTTTAAAAGTGTACGGGCAGGGGTGGTCGCCACACGAGCATACAGAGTTGTGTACTTAAGTGTACGGGCAGGGGTGGTCGCCACACGAGCATACAGAGTTGTGTACTTAAGTGTACGGGCAGGGGTGGTCGCCACACGAGCATACAGAGTTGTGTACTTAAGTGTACGGGCAGGGGTGGTCGCCACACGAGCATACAGAGTTGTGTACTTAAGTGTACGGGCAGGGGTGGTCGCCACACGAGCATACAGAGTTGCGTACTTAAGTGTACGGTTGTTGTTGTTGTTGTTGTTGTTGTTGTTTTTGACTTTTATTTTACTTCACCAATAATTGCACAGGCATGATTGCCTTCTCACCGTCCCTTAGGTCCGGTTCTCACAGAAAGATGCAGGAAATTGTATTAGAAAATGCATAGAATAAAGACATGCAAGCGGTATAATTGGTGTGTTCCAACTTTCAAGCGCATTCAAAATAATTAGAATTAATTTTGTTTTTCGGCTTCTGGCCACTTGTACAAGCTGTGGCTGAAACAAACCGTCTGAGAGTCAGCCGCGGCTGAAAGTCGTGCGCAGGACATTTTTCAGGATTTTCCATGGTATTAGAGAGGTGAAGTTTCACGTAAAATTCTTACGCCCGTGAACGTAGAGGTGAAAAACGCATGCAGTGCATGTACGCGTGTTGCAGTGAGCAGCGCATGCTTGAAAAGTGTGCCCACCCAAAAAAGTCAAGTACGCCCCTAGATTCGTACACAAACAGTGTACTTAAAAAAACTGAGGCCGGGCGGGCCAAAAATTGGGGCAGACGCAGACGATAAAAATCAAATGTTTTACTTGGCCTCAACATGGTAAAACACATAGCAGTACTCGATGGTCTGATTTTGCAGTAGTCTTCCATACAGGCAATGCTGTGTTCCCTTTTGTGTTGCAACTCACATATTGAATTTTGAGGAAGTGAAATCAACGGAAGCATGACATGTTCTGTTTCTGTTCTTATGACTGATCGTCTCGTGACAGAAAAGCTCTACTGCCGCGCGCCCGGCGGTGAATTTCTTGTGATTCGCTCGTCTGACGGGATACGGTACAATTTTTACAACTCTCAATTATTCTGTCGGAGCCAGCAGATGGAGGTGTTGACACCCGGCGTAGTGGAGTGTGCAATCTATCGTGGCGCCTATGGTGGTATATGGACGTGGGTGGACACTGTACCAAGGAAGATTACCTACACTACTGTGACCAACCCGTCAATAACAGCTCCCGACGTGTTGTGCCAGCGACGTAAGTCTGTGCGGGTGCCACCAGGCCGGATACCGTAACTACCAGTATCTAGGATTTGCAGTGCCCTGCAAGTTTGCAAGAACTAGGCCATCGTGCTTGTTATTCGAACTGAAGTAACGCCAGTGACGAGAGCCAACTGGTGTGTTCAGGTGTACGGTACGGTATTCAGGTGCGATGCGTGGCATGTGCGGGATAGTATGCCATGCCTGGCGTTACTAGTCACATGATGTGCCCCCCCCCCCCCAAACACTGTACAATGACATCAAGAGTCCATAACCCCAAGAGTGTGCAACTGGGGCCTGGCTGCTTTAGGCCCACTGCGCGGCGGAATTCCAACATTAGGTCATGCCGCCGAGCCACAAAGGACAAAACTCCGCATTCCACGGTGCTTGGAACCAGGGAGTAGTACAAGCGCAATGAACGTGTACATCATGTTTGACGTAATGTTGGAATTCCGCCGCGCGGATACCCATTTACAGGGTTGCACACTCTTGGGGTTATGGACCTCGTCATGCATTTTTTCCATTTTCCAAAATTGTCTTGCCATGCAAAAATGCAATGTACAGGGCTGAACCCCCCCCCCCCCCCCCCCACCTCACCCCGGACAAGTGAGCCTTTTATGAACCTTCTGTTAGTGACTGCATTTTTGTGTTTACACCATTCCCTGAAAAACACAAAAATCGACAAATGGGTAGGGGCGCTACATTTTCGCGCTGGAAGGCTGTTGGTGTGCGCCTCCAAGATGTGTTAGAGCTGATTGCCAGTTAGGTGTAGAACGTCAGTACCGTTATATGGCTTCTGTGCTTCGTGTGCTGATTTGCTTTCCTCCAACCAAAAATCTATTTGTTGCACTTTCTGGCTGTATATAGCATCTAGTCACAGTGGTGGACACTTGCTCTCAACTCGTATCCATATATATTATGTTCTTTTCCTTTCTACATTTATTATTGGCTCAACATCCGAGTTTATACTGCTTGTTTCCATGTCACTATCTGCAGGTGTGAACTATTGTCCACAACTTCAAATTGCCAATGGAAATCTGAGTATCACAACGATTTCCCACCAGATTGAGGCAAATTGTCATGATGCGTACTTTACAATTGACCGTGCCAGCTGTAAGGAGCGTGAAGGATGGGTGTTGCCTGATAAGCCATTGTGTCTCAGCCGTAAGTGCTGTCTGCGTGATGGATTTAGAGCTCAGTCCGACTTGGTCTCAAGCGAGCATGAAGATACTCTCTTTTTCTAGACTGGCTAGCTTAAACTTTTCTTCTGCCTTTATGTAAGTGAAGAGAAAGCAAACATGAAAATTGTTAACTCCCTCTCTGTTTTGCCAGAAAATTGAGATACGGAGAATTAATGCAATCACAACGAGTCACCGTGGTAATCTTACCGCGATCACAGGAGTTGCCATGGTAATCCTCGTTGAACGCACACTTTCTTGTAGTTCCAGCAGCACCCCGGCTACACCCTTTACTTACCTGCAGGACACATTGATGATGACAGCAAGTGTGCTGAAGACATGAGATAGGACGAGAGATAATTGTATTGGGAACAAAATCGTGCTCGGACTATTAAAGGACAAAAACAAGCCTTTGTTGTTTAGGGCGCGGTCACACATGCACTTTTTTGGCGGTTTCGCCAACGAGTACCCCCCCCCCCCGCCGTAAGTTTCGCTTTGGCGGAAAGTTTGGATTTCGCTACGCCAAAAAAAATGCGAGCGGATTCTCCGCTTTCGCGGATCCGCTTTGGTGGAACCTGCGTGGTGATGGCTTTGGAGTTTGGTGTGCTACTTCTGCGCTGAGTTCTGGTGTTGTTTGGTTGCCGTTTGGTATTCAGTTTTCATATTGTTCTTCTTTGCCAATGTACTGTACGTTCTGGAGATCTCGCAAACGATACTGCATCGTTATGAGTGGATAGTTGGTGAGGGAACCCGTCTCCCAACTCATTGGCCCCGATCGCGGACGATCTCCAACTCTCTCCTTCTCTCTCCAAGCAATGCGTCCACCAGAGTGTGCAACACTAGGATATGGAGAGTACTCTTCACACTGACCTCTTTCACAGCGTCAACCCTGCTCCTGTCTGACAGGTTCAGGGAAGATGTGAGCTGTGTTTATTATTCTCATTTCACTGTATCAACTTGAAGGTGTTTATTGCATTTGTATAATGCTGGATCAAGCTTATTTTCCACTGTTTTTTTTTGTGTGAATATCTTCTTCTTCTTCTTCTTCTTCTTCTTCTTCTTCTTCTAAGTTCAAAAATCAGTTGCACGTGTGTGTCCAAGTTAATCATATGCGAGTAAATATCCTTGGAAACGGTACGATAAAAGCGAGTCTGCACGTCGTGTGAGTGGCCTATAACTAAACTATATGTGAGAGAGAGATAGATTTGGGATACAAATGTAAAAGGAAGAAATGTTCAGAACAGTTTTTTTATTCCACCATACAATTGTTCAATGCTAAGAGGCCGTCCGTAATTATCAATCTTTTTCATGAAGAGAAGAAGTTCCGTTTATGGGGTGGGTGGGTGGGTTGAGGAGAGTTTCGTTTTGAAAATTATGGATAGCTGAAAAATCAATCCATTCTAGCTGTCAAGTCAATATATTTTTCGTTGAAGGGGTGGATCGGTGAGGGAAGGAGGGTCAAAACTAAACTTTTTCGTTCCGTGAAAAGTATCGATAATGCCGGACAGCCCTAACTGCTTTGCCTATTCTTGTCAACACCGATATTTCCTGCAGGATCCTGCATAGCTGGGGAGATGTCCAGCACTGAGAATATATGCAACTGCGACAAGGACTACCACGGCACAAGATGCAATCAAAGTAGGTTTGTCTACTGAGGCTGCTACTGTGCCTGCTGCTACTGTGGCTGCTACTGTGGCTGCTACTGTGGCTGCTGAGGCTGCTGCTGTGGCTGCTGAGGCTGCTACTGTGGCTGCTGTGGCTACTGTGGCTGCTGAGGCTGCTACTGTGGCTGCTGAGGCTGCTACTGTGGCTGCTGAGGCTGCTGCTGTGGCTGCTGAGGCTGCTACTGTGGCTGCTGAGGCTGCTACTGTGGCTGCTGAGGCTGCTACTGTGGCTGCTGAGGCTGCTACTGTGGCTGCTGAGGCTGCTACTGTGGCTACTGTGGCTGCTGCTGTGGCTGCTGAGGCTGCTACTGTGGCTGCTGAGGCTGCTACTGTGGCTGCTGAGGCTGCTACTGTGGCTACTGTGGCTGCTGCTGTGGCTGCTGAGGCTGCTGCTGTGGCTGCTGAGGCTGCTACTGTGGCTGCTGAGGCTGCTACTGTGGCTGCTGAGGCTGCTACTGTGGCTACTGTGGCTGCTGCTGTGGCTGCTGAGGCTGCTACTGTGGCTGCTGAGGCTGCTACTGTGGCTGCTGAGGCTGCTTCTGTGGCTGCTGAGGCTGCTACTGTGGCTGCTGAGGCTGCTACTGTGGCTGCTGAGGCTGCTACTGTGGCTGCTGAGGCTGCTACTGTGGCTGCTGAGGCTACTACTGTGGCTGCTGAGGCTGCTACTGTGGCTGCTGAAGCTGCTACTGTGGCTGCTGAGGCTGCTACTGTGGCTGCTGAAGCTGCTACTCACGGTGGCTGCTGAGGCTACTGTGGCTGCTGAGGCTGCTCCTGTGGCTGCTGAGGCTGCTACTGTGGCTGCTGTGGCTACTGTGGCTGCTGAGGCTGCTACTGTGGCTGCTGAGGCTGCTACTGCGGCTGCTGAGGCTGCTACTGTGGCTGCTGAGGCTGCTACTGTGGCTGCTGAGGCTGCTACTGTGGCTGCTGAGGCTGCTACTGTGGCTGCTGAGGCTGCTACTGTGGCTGCTGAGGCTGCTACTGTGGCTGCTGAAGCTGCTACTGTGGCTGCTGAGGCTGCTACTGTGGCTGCTGAAGCTGCTACTTCGGCTGCTGAGGCTACTGTGACTGCTGAGGCTGCTACTGTGGCTGCTGAGGCTGCTACTGTGGCTGCTGTGGCTGCTGAGGCTGCTGCGACTGCTGAGGCTGCTGCGGCTGCTGAGGCTGCTACTGTGGCTGCTGAGGCTGCTACTGTGGCTGCTGAGGCTGCTACTGTGGCTGCTGAGGCTGCTACTGTGGCTGCTGAGGCTGCTACTGTGGCTGCTGAGGCTGCTACTGTGGCTGCTGAAGCTGCTACTCACGGTGGCTGCTGAGGCTACTGTGGCTGCTGAGGCTGCTCCTGTGGCTGCTGAGGCTGCTACTGTGGCTGCTGTGGCTACTGTGGCTGCTGAGGCTGCTACTGTGGCTGCTGAGGCTGCTACTGCGGCTGCTGAGGCTGCTACTGTGGCTGCTGAGGCTGCTACTGTGGCTGCTGAGGCTGCTGCTCTAGCTTCTGCTTGAATTGCTCGGTTGCTGTTCTGATTCTGTGTTGTGACAACAACGTGCTGTAATTCCACAAATTTTTCATCGCGTCCAAATTTCGGCCTCCCAGGGCCAAAGCACATTAGAGCTGCATTAAAATTTCAGCCTGTACTGCTGCTGCTGCCTGTACACACTGTCACATTGAGCCTTGCAAAACAAGATGTATTGTCACGACGACGACAAAGAAACCTGTGTAGGTTCATGGAAACTCTCAACTCCTTACATCCAGCATCAGATGATTGAAAATAATGATACCCATTCTTTCCTGGATGTTAGTATTTCTCGTAACATGGATACGCACAACATGGACACGACCATTTATAGAAAGCCAAATTTCACAGGCTTGTATATCCGATGGTCAAGTTTTACTCCAACTAAGTCCAAAAACACACATCGTCAAGGCCCTTGCCTACCGTGCACATAGGATATGTTCCCCTCATCTGCTGGACGAGGAACTAGAACGACTCTTAACGATAATGACAAAGAATGGCTATCCAAAGACATTTTTAATGAAACTCATCAACCAGAAACCGAACATGGAAAAGACGAAGAACTTTTGGACTTTTGGGCCGGAAGATGCCCTGTGGTACTACGTTTGCCATGGGTTGGTGCCGGTTCTTCGCGTGTCGAGAAGGAGGTGCGGAATATTGTTTGTTCCTCTTATCTGTGTGTCAAATTGTATGTCATCTTTGGGATGACCCGTGCATTCAGCGTGAAGAAGGACGTTCTACCTACCCTAAGCAAAAGTAATTTAATATATTTCTTTCAGTGCCAAAATTATGAAAATCAGTGCGTAGGTAGAACCTTTCCGCACCTGGGCGCACGGATTCGTCAACATGTACCGTTGAATCTTGTCCCTGTAGCTGCACATGGTTCTCGGCCTCGGCGTGGTCGTGGTCGTCCGCCGAAGTGTCCGGTGCGGTCTGTGTCTGAGGTGGACTCGTCTAAGTCCGCTGTGGATACGCTTGCCGACCCCTCCTCCTTTTCGTCGGGCACAGGGCTGGAGCCAACCCGAACAACAGTCAACAAGAAGGAGAGACCGATACGGAAACCACTGAAACTGACATCTGAACAATCGAGCCCCGGACCAGTCACCAGAAGCCAATTGAGTACACGAATTGATGAGGAGCCAAAGAACCAATACTGGAAGTGACAACAACGGTTAATGTGAAGAAACGAGGTAGACCGCGGAAGCAGGACAGACTGGACGTGGAGCAGCCAGACTGGACGTGGAGCAGCACACTGATGTCGACCGAGGCAATCGGAATTGCAGGGATGCAGGGCGTAATGGGAGAGATTGGCAAGCGGCAGGATCGGAGGTGACAACTTCCAAGTCGTCAGGTCAGGGAAACAGAACCTCGGCAATCAAGTGTCACCTGTCGGGCAATGCTAGTTGTCGTGAGTGGAATTCCGATGATGAATTCTCTGTTTTGTCGCATGGTAGGTCTTTGTTACATCTTGCCGTGTTGGAAGCTTTGTACATACGTAAGTTAGACCCTGAGCTTTGTGTTCAGAAGGAGAATGTGTTGTCCTTGCAGTTGTTTGGCACTGTTCGTCGTGAAGGTGCGAAATAGATCCCTTGATCTCTTGATATTTTCTCTCTTTTTCGTGTCACTACGTTTTTGTCACTTATTGGATTTGCATGTTGTTTTCTTGACTCTTCACATCAATTTTTTTCGTGTCACTTCTACACATAATTGGAGTGATGTATCTCTGAACTTCTTTTCCTTATAGTTGTAGTCTCTTAGCTAATTTCCATCATTCCCTGTAGTATTTTGAGAAGAAGGGAACGAAAACGTTCAATACTTTGACACATGTCCTAATTGGCTGGTGGTGATTCTTGCGTAGATGCATGTGTAGGCAATACATTTTTTTGTAATATTTTCTGCCTCCTTCCTAGTTTCAGATATTACATTATTCGAATTTTCGGGCAAGGCCCATCTTCAGGAAGGATCAGGAAGGATCTTCAGGAAGGCCCATCTTCCTGAAGATGGGCCTTGCCGGAAAATTTGAATAATTTAATATCTACAGGATCAATTGGGGAAGTGAGCTGCCTGAAAAGAGAAAAAATAGCCAGACCCACCAGGACTCGAACCCGGGACCTTGCTTGTCATGAGCAATGCTCTAACCACTGAGCTATGGGACCGGGCTGAACCTAGAAGGCGCTGACATGTCTTTCACTCCAAAGGCAGCTCACAACACGTGCCACACATACTGATGGCACTTGGGTCTTTCTCTCCCCCCCCCCCCCCCCCCCAGAGGACCAACCACGGTCAGTTTCTGGACCCTACCAGAAGTGAAAAGAGAATGCTAAATTTTGAAAGGATTGGGAAAACTTCAGATTCAAAGGATCAATTTGGGAAGTTAACGTCCTGAAAAGAGAAAAAATCGCCAGACCCAGACCCACCAGGACCGGTGTGGCCATTTTTCTCTTTTCAGGCAGTTCACTTCCCCAATTGATCCTTTGAATTTGAAGTTCTCCCAATCCTTTCAAAATGTATCACTCTCTTTTCACTTCTGGTAGGGTCCAGAAACTGACCGTGGTTGGTCCCCTGGGGGGGGGGGGAGAGAAAGACCCAAGTGCCGTCAGTATGACTTTTGTGTGGCACGTGTTGTGAGCTGCCTTTGGAGTGAAAGACATGTCAGCGCCTTCTAGGGTCAGCCCGGCCCATAGCTCAGTGGTTAGAGCATTGCTCATGACAAGCAAGGTCCCGGGTTCGAGTCCTGGTGGGTCTGGCGATTTTTCTCTTTTCAGGCAGTTCACTTCCCCAATTGATCCTTTGAATTTGAAGTTCTCCCAATCCTGTCAAAATTTAAGATCTCTTTTTCTTTTAGTAATTGGAGTAGCCCAGAGACCGTTTAGTGATTGGAGTAGCCCAGAGACCGTTTGAAGATTGGAGAGTGAAGATGTATGGATACATTGCATTATTAATTTAAGAATTGATTTCTCTTTATCCGATCCCCGTGGCTGTATTTCTTCTTCCCTTATTGGCAACAGGCCATCGTGAGAATAAAGGATTTCAAAAGAAAGGCTATGATGTGACCGGACCTATCAAAATTTCTTCCGGAAATCCTGAAAGGTCACATGATGACGGCCATGTTGGTTCCAATGTCCACATGCCATTATTGTCACTATCCACACGGATTAATGTTGTCACGTGACGAAGATGTGAAGCCCCTCTAGAGAAGAGATTTGAGGGCAATGTTTAATGGTTTGCTGGTACAGTGTTGCTTGTTGATCGGCCATTGTTCTGTGACTTAATGCTTTCCAGTCTGGTGTCAAGGAAAACGACTCCGACTGGTTCTACCATCTGCTCCAGTGGCAGGTAAACACGGCATTACCGCTTGTGACGCGATTGATAAAAGCATCGGCGAGTGGACTATAATGCCCAAGCAGCTGCAACCGTGTGCGCAGACGTTTATGCGGAGGTTCGGGCAGCAGTACGCTAAGCGCACGCCCCTGACGTCCTTCACGCAGGAAGGCAGAGTTCACGTGAGCAACGGCACCTCCACGTGGGCCGCACGCCTCGCTGATCGTCAGCCTGTTTTCTGCCTGTTCCGTAAGTCTGTGAAGATGGTGAATGTACATGCACAGCTACTCTGGCCATTGTAACATGACAATGTCCGTAGTAGTAGTATCTCGGGTTGTTCTGCTTTTAAACTATTTGGAAAAAAACGTTTTTTGAGAGAAATACCTGCTGGCACGTGAGGTAGATAATTTTACACTGCAACCACTGCTATCCCTGGGTTTCCAACATCTAGACAAGAGTCAACAAGTAGAGATTACAAGGTTTGACCCAATCAATGTTTTTAGACCTTAGCCAAAGAAGGTACCCATTAGAATGTTCTGTGCTCGGATCGTTTGTTTAATGTCGAAGGTTGCACTGCAGGAGCATTGTGCAGCTGTACTTCCTGGGAGCTGATAACAATCAGACATATGCCATGATGTTGTGATTGTACCTGTTTGCAAGAGCACTGGCACCGGCGAGCAATATTGATCTCTCTCTCTCTCTCTCTCTCTCTCACTCTCTCTCTCTCTCGCGCACGCGCGCGCGCCCGCTCTGTTGTGTTTGTGCCGTGACTCGGTTTCAGAGGATGCGTGTACATCAGGCAAGCTTGTCTGCAATCCGCCGGCCAAATGCACGATCACAGTTGCATACTCTGCAACTTGTGTCTGTCCGGGAGGCGACCCACAAACAGCTGACAGGAACTGTGATGGTGAGTGCTTGGAGGTAGAAATTGGTATGATATCATGAGCTCTCGACTTTCCTTTTTCCAATTACTCTTTGTATGCCAATCTTGAATGCAGGATAGAGAGAGCATGTGATGTTATGTTGAAGTAAAATATAAGAAAACATAACACAACCTACGGTACACAATAATGTTCTGTTTGTTTGTTGTTTGGCTATTTAGTCAGGGCCGTTAGCCGCAATTTCCAGCCTGTTCATCAGTGATTGGCTTAGTTGTTGGAGATATTGTTCCTACTTGGAGTTCTGTTGCTGGTGTGATGAATGGCGAAGTTGGTCAGAGAGTAGGGGTTGGTCAGAGAGTAGGGGTTGGTCAGAGAGTAGGGGTTGGTCAGAGAGTAGGGGTTGGTCAGAGAGTAGGGGTTGGTCAGAGAGTAGGGGTTGGTCAGAGAGTAGGGGTTGGTCAGAGAGTAGGGGTTGGTCAGAGAGTAGGGGTTGGTCAGAGAGTAGGGGTTGGTCAGAGAGTAGGGGTTGGTCAGAGAGTAGGGGTTGGTCAGAGAGTAGGGGTTGGTCAGAGAGTAGGGGTTGGTCAGAGAGTAGGGGTTGGTCAGAGAGTAGGGGTTGGTCAGAGAGTAGGGGTTGGTCAGAGAGTAGGGGTTGGTCAGAGAGTAGGGGTTGGTCAGAGAGTAGGGGTTGGTCAGAGAGTAGGGGTTGGTCAGAGAGTAGGGGTTGGTCAGAGAGTAGGGGTTGGTCAGAGAGTAGGGGTTGGTCAGAGAGTAGGGGTTGGTCAGAGAGTAGGGGTTGGTCAGAGAGTAGGGGTTGGTCAGAGAGTAGGGGTTGGTCAGAGAGTAGGGGTTGGTCAGAGAGTAGGGGTTGGTCAGAGAGTAGGGGTTGGTCAGAGAGTAGGGGTTGGTCAGAGAGTAGGGGTTGGTCAGAGAGTAGGGGTTGGTCAGAGAGTAGGGGTTGGTCAGAGAGTAGGGGTTGGTCAGAGAGTAGGGGTTGGTCAGAGAGTAGGGGTTGGTCAGAGAGTAGGGGTTGGTCAGAGAGTAGGGGTTGGTCAGAGAGTAGGGGTTGGTCAGAGAGTAGGGGTTGGTCAGAGAGTAGGGGTTGGTCAGAGAGTAGGGGTTGGTCAGAGAGTAGGGGATGGTCAGAGAGTAGGGGTTGGTCAGAGAGTAGGGGTTGGTCAGAGAGTAGGGGTTGGTCAGAGAGTAGGGGTTTAAACTACAGTAGTCCCTTTATATTCCAGCACCATTTGTGCTACGGAAATTCTGCTGGATTAGGGAGGGTGCTGGATTAGGGAGGGTGCTGGATTAGGGAGGGTGCTGGATTAGGAAGGGTGCTGGATAAGGAAGGGTGCTGGATTAGGGAGGGTGCTGGATTAGGGAGGGTGCTGGATTAGGGAGGGTGCTGGATTAGGAAGGGTGCTGGATTAGGAAGGGTGCTGGATTAGGGAGGGTGCTGGATTAGGGAGGGTGCTGGATTAGGGAGGGTGCTGGATTAGGGAGGGTGCTGGATTAGGGAGGGTGCTGGATTAGGGAGGGTGCTGGATTAGGGAGGGTGCTGGATTAGGGAGGGTGCTGGATTAGGGAGGGTGCTGGATTAGGGAGGGTGCTGGATTAGGGAGGGTGCTGGATTAGGGAGGGTGCTGGATTAGGGAGGGTGCTGGATTAGGGAGGGTGCTGGATTAGGGAGGGTGCTGGATTAGGGAGGGTGCTGGATTAGGGAGGGTGCTGGATTAGGGAGGGTGCTGGATTAGGGAGGGTGCTGGATTAGGGAGGGTGCTGGATTCAAAAATTATAATTTTCTGCTGCAATGTGCATGAAAAGGACATTTCGGTTGCTGAAAATTATGCTTGTTTAAAGCGGGTGCTGGTGTATAAGAGGGATGCCGGTACAGTACGGATCGGCTAAAGCGTTGGTGTTTGATTTTCGTGAAAATATCACTATAGGCGATATATTACTACAGGCGATATCAAGAGTAGATAAACAAGAGTGTGCAACTCGCGGATGGGTTGGCCCACGGCGGAATTTTTTGTTGACGTAATCTTTTCGACGACGCACGAGCTGCGAGTCTTTCGGAAAGTTTTCCCTCGTGCTCTTGGCCGGCTTTACACTACAAGGTCGGTGCCCAGCACGTGCTCTCACACTGCTCTGCGGCGAAATGCGCGTTCTTCTGAAAAAAGGTGACGTCAACAAAAAATTCCGCCGTGGGCGGGAGTATCTGCAGATTGTGCAGGAGAGATCCGGAGTTGCACACTCTTGTTTATGTACTCTTGGCGATATGCATACTTAGGTATGCCTGACACATGCGTGTATGGTGTCATTCGAATCAGTGAAGCGTGCAGAAGCGTGCTGTGCATGTGACCGTGCAGTACGCGCAGTGCAAGCTACTTCCTGCGGAAACAAAAACTTCGTGACTTTTGACATGAGTTTTGAAGGAGTTGCTGTGCTCAACAAATGTGTTCTCTTGGAAAAGAAACACTTCAACATATTCAATCCACATATCAACAATATCTACAGGATCGATTAGTGGGAGTAGAGTCTCAGTCAGGGTCGCCTTTGCTCGACTCATCACCGCTGAAACCGTTCCAAGTGGCAGGTCGATCGACGCGTGATGTCGTATGTCACGGAGAAGCTTCTCCGCGTCCCTGATCGTCTTTGCTGTTACCTGAATGCCTTCTCCAACATCTCGGCGGAGACCACAGTAGCGCTTCAGCGCTGGTACTCATTACTGCCTCCGCTCTCGCTCGAGGATGCTCCGGAACAACAAGCACAGCCAACGCCAAACATTTCGACTTTCCTCCAAGGGATATCATGGTCGTACCAGCGCTTCCTGACTGCCGCGATCAGATCATGCCAAGTACGATGTATAAGTTTTTATGATCATCACTATAGCCGATGAAAAATGTATGCAATAAGATCTTTTTGACAAAGAAATCGTATCATTATAGCCGATATATTACTATAGCCGATTATTACTACAGCCGATCCGATATGTATAGAAAGGGGTGGTTTACGAAAATGAATTTGAGAGTACGATCACTATAAGAGGTATATTACTATAGCCGACAACTCTATAGCCGATCCACACTGCACTAGTAAACCAACGTTTAGCTATGAGTTTCCTGAGACTTTGTTCTGTGTGACCTTGGTGTGTGCCTATACCTGTAGTTCTGCCCAGCCTGAAGAGCCCGAAGCAGCAACACAGGTTCCACCGTCTTCTGTATGGTGAAGGAGCTCTGCTGCGCTGTTCGTTCAGCGGCCGTGTACTAGAGGGCATTGAGTGGGAGAACAGCAATGCTAGCACGCCCCTTGACGGTCCCAATGTTGCCAAGAATACTTGGGTAAGCATCACACGTACGGTCAACCTTGCGAATGATGACAGCGACCGCCCGATCGTGCACGAGATAGGTGCCGTTGTGTGCGATTTTCCGCTATTTGCGAGTTGTTGAAACGGTGTGAAGATGGTGTCGCTATTGGCGCCGAGTTGTTATTTTACTGCAAGATGTTGACTGTCCAACATTGCATGTACAACTTCATTTTGGCAATTGAAGATTCACTAGCACCATTGATTGTACAAGAGTTAAGCTAGCCAGTAGCAGTCCAGGGTTAACAGGTACCGTAATGTCGCGTATAAAAGCTTTCCCCTCGGTGCTTACAGCCGTATAAACCGGGCTTCAAACTATGCTTCTATTCAAAACATGCTTCTATTCAAAACACGCTTCTACGTCACCATCTTCAGTCTACACTGTGCAGTGCACATTGTCATGCATGTAGTGTGCACATACATGTACTTGCACGTATGCTTCTATTCAAATCATGCTTCTGTGTCACGGCGCTCTTCAAAACATCGGCTTCTATTCAAGTCATGCTTCTATACGGGTCATGCTTTTCTACGCTACACTACTTTATGTATGCTTCAAATAGAAATAAAGTGAACACTGAAACCAACAACGGTAGCCGGTACAACATTACACCTTCAAGCAGCCGAGCCGGTCGGCAGCAGACCCAGCACTATCTGGCATAAGTGTACCCACCAACCAAACTAGCTGGCACCACACACACCTCAGACCTCAGACCTGCCCATCGAGGAAGCGATGATAGCGAACAGCTATGTTAGACATAGCAACTTGTGCTGGGATTACACCATTCAACAGCTTGCAAGGCTGATGAATTGACCGCCACTATTTTTAGCCTGGTATCCACCACGCAGCTGATTGAAGTGACTTTACACACACACACACACACACACACACACACACACACACACACACACACACACACACACACACACACACACACACACACACACACACACACACACACACACACACACACACACACACACACACACACCGCACTAGGATTTCCCCTCGGTTTTGTAATGACCAGTTTATTGCATCACAAATGCTGTTCATCATGCAGCATCATAAGTCTGCGATTACCATCCTTCCTTATCTCGTGTTGCAGGTATCGGCTGATGGAGTCACCCATAGCCAAGTCTTCTTCATACCTAAGTCCGATCTTACATGGGTATCGTGCTCTGCACGGAACTCTCGTGGCACTGTCCGCGCATTCCATGTCGTGATCGCCACAGCGGCCGGCCATGGCGGGTTTGGTGAAGCAGGTACGTGGCACACAAACAACTGCAGTTATGTGCAACGGTGAAAAAAGGAGAAGGACAAAATGTTACGAGTTATGACTAACTGTCCCCCCATGTAACCAGATCTTATACAGTGGCAGCGAGTGCAACAAAAATGGCACAAAACTGACAAGGAGTACCGAGACATTCATTCGTAACATTTTTCCTTCTCCTTTTTTCACCATAATTTAATTGGCTCGCCATCCGAGTTCAATCCTCTGCCATGTTGTATATTTATGTTATACAGTGAAACCTGTCTAAGACGACCGCTGAAGGGACCTTCAAAGTGCGGTCTCTCTTACCAGGTGGACTCCTTATCCAGGTCCAGGGTCATTTGGCTGGAAATAGCATCCCTTGGTGGTCCTGCCTGCAGTGGTCGTCTGGGACAGGTGGTCGCCTTATCCGAGTAGTTGCTTTGACTGGTTTAACTCTACTGTCATACTGTCATACAGGTACTGTTATGCTGTTATCCTGCTACTCTGTTATAGTACTGTGTGTGCCATTGAGCAAGGGTGTAACAAGCAAAGAGGTAACACAGGAAATACATACCACATCCCAGTCGAAGCCATTCCGAAAGTCAAGGAGTTGGTATGCCAACAGCTTAGTGAGTATATAGGTGATCATCTGGCTGAGAGATTTGTTCGGGCATGTTGGTGATGGAAGCGCTGCGGGAGATGATGGTAAACGGCTCCACAGCATGCTGGCTCTGCAGAGATAGAGAGGAGGACAGCATACAGCATGATCGCTTATAATTATTAAGGTCGTTTGATCTTCTGGTACTCGATTGTCACTCCACCAGAGAGTTACAGCCGTTATTGGTTGCCACTTGCCCAGGGTTGGTCCTTGAGCATCAATTCGTACCAGGGAGTCAAGGCATGTACCAGAAAATCCCCATTGCTAGCTGGTCTTGATGTACCTCAACGTCGATAAGCGGATCCTCTCAGCACGGCCACTGGATATCGGAAGTCGGAACAGTAGGCAGCGGACCAGGCCAGGGGTGCTCCGCCAGAGTGCTGTCTGGGAGATTCCCATCAGACAATTTCGTGGCTGTCTGTCCGGCTGTCTGTCCGGCTGTCTGTCCGGCTGTCTGTCCGGCTGTCTGTCCGGCTGTCTGTCCGGCTCTGGTAGCATTGCGTATATACCACCATGTCAAGCCCAGCACGCTGCCTGGGAGAATCTTTTAAAACTATTTCCGCCAGCCAATATAGTGACTGTTCTCCAGGTAGCATTGCATACTAGCCATTGCGTCATCTCACTCCTGCAACATGGTTGCCAATTCAAGCGCAGCACGCTGCCTGGGAGATGCTTTATTTATTTTTTAATTCCGCGAGCCAACACAAATTGCAGTGACTGTTCTCCAGGATCAGGTAACATTGCATACTAGTCACCATGTCATCCCACTCTTCTGAGACGGTATGCCAAGCCTGGCACTGATGCTACAGTGGATCCTAGTAGCGCTCTCTGAGGCACTCAACCGCATTGTCTGTCAAGGGACTGGGTTGAAGTGTGATACAGCTACTGATGAGTTCAGTATTTTCTCACACAATGTACCGGACGTTGCATGTCTAGTTATATAGGACTAGGCAAGCGTGTGTGTCTGTGTGGTTGAACATAATTGTGTTTGTCTCTTTGTGTCTATATGTGTGTGCGTCTCTCTCTCTCTCTCTCTTCTCTCTCTCTCTCTCTCTTTCTCTCTCTCTCTCACTCTCTCTCTCTCTCTCTCTCTCTCTCTCTCTATCTCTCTATCTCACTCTCTCTCTCTCTCTCTCTCTCTCTCTCTCTCTCTCTCTCTTTCTCTCTCTCTCTCTCTCTCTCTCTCTCTCTCTCTCTCTCTCTCTCTCTCTCTCTCTCTCTCTCTTCTGTCTGTCTGTCTCTCCACGTACATGTGCATGTGCATATGCATGTGATCCAGGCACGAAATTGAGCAATTCTGCAAATGGGGCATTGGCCGCCGTCTGCTCTTTACTGGGTATTGCTCTGATCGCCACCGTTAGCTTCCTTGTTGTCCAGAAGAAGTCACCTGAGCACATTGAACAGATGAATCAGATGCGTATCAGGCTTCAAGGTGTGTATGGGCTTGTTATAGTCTTGGAAAACACATGATGCCTCTTGTGCTGTACAGGCAGAACATTTTGCCGGTGAATAATTCCGTCCAATGCCAAAGCAAGGGAGCTTGTCCGGTTGAAGATTTAGTTCATGACCCATAATAATCATGTCGAAAAGCTGGGCAAATCGACGTTAGTCCGAACACGCCTGGGACGGAAAGACTAAAATAAATTCCAGACAACTAGTTCTGCTTGTTCAGTGTCTTGTCAGGCTCTCTGCTGCTTGGTCTATGCTGGCACTGTGTAAGTATCGTATCTCGCCGGTTGTATAAAGGCAGACTCGATTGTAAGGCGGACTCGATTGTAAGTCGCATCCCCACTTTGAGGTTGGATCCACATTGTTTCAGTACATGCATATAAATTGGAAGTCACTCTCGATTGTAAGTGGCATCCCCTTCTTTTCCCTTGAAGTTTAGTGTAAAAAGGTGCGACTTATATTCGGGGAAACACGGTACCACAAGAGCAACTAGTGCCTTGCCTGGGTTTGCAGCCAGACATTGCGACTCAGATGCTTCAAGGTTGTGTGAGTGGATGATGTGTTCTAAGGTCCTGGCCCTGCATAAGCCCACGCACCGGCGATCGTTATTGCCTCCTGCTTGGAGGCTGGTCTGGGAACTGCTTCTCTGTACCTAAAATTTCTGTTCAGTGTTCACCTAACCTGGCCTTTTTGCCCTCATACCGAAAATATTGAACACCGAAAATTTCTGAAATTAGGGTGCTCTTGCTTACCAGTCAGAACGTCTGCAGGCCTAAGGTGATTACAATCATATGGAAACAGGGGGCAGGGGTTACAGAATCTGGTAATAGAAACCTCTACCGAAATTTGCTTTCGGCTTGAATTCATAGCTATACTATCCAGCTCAATCTCTGCTCAACAATGCGCTTCAACCAGTGACGTCATTGAAATGAAGTTACTCGACTTGTGTTGCGATAACCAGTGAAATTTCCTTTCTGTGCCCTCTACATTGTTTTCTCAACTTGCGTTGCTTGCGTTTATTTCTATTTTTGGTTTTTATCACCTTTTCCTATATTCTCACATTGTTGTTGCTGACACACACACACACACACACACATGCAACGCTTAGCTCTCATACTTTTTTCCTTTTCCTTTTTTTGCGTGGCTACAGGAACTGTGAAGGAAAGTGTGAAGGAAGGTGTAGAGCAGCTGAAGAAAAGAACTCAGGAATTAAGACAAGCAGCATTTGCACAGCCGGTCCCCTCTGACCCAGACCCAGACCCGGAGCCATGTCTGCCTCTGAAGAAGGGCCCAGGTAAGCCGCGCACGTTGTCCGATCGCTAATATTGCCTTCCACCACTAACATTCCTCATTCTGTGCATTGAATCCATGCCATAGATCCTTGAGGATGGTGGCGCTTCTACGGTTGTGTAAAACTCAGCCTGAGCGCATCTCACCCAAATCTTGAAAATATCTTTTTGGGCTTCTAAATATTTTCACGTGCCGTTGTAGCACTCTCCATTTCAAATTGAAGGAAAATTCAGAGAAAGACGTTGGTATAGGGGTGGGGCGGGGGCGGGGGAGGCGCAGGAGGGGGGGGGGGTGATGAGACAGGCCACACAGTCAGGGAAGTACCTTGACTGCAAGAGAGTGAGTAAGAGGCAGGCCCGTCGGAATCGGTACGGCTGGTCAGGCCATGGCTGGATCAGCTTTTTGGCCACCGACGTGTGAAGTTTACTGCTGAGGAGATCATGTGTATACCCGCCATATCATACACAGCGTATGAAAGGCTAGGGTATGGCCGGACCAATCAGAAATTGCTTCCGCCGGTCCTGTGAGAGAATGCATCTCAGTGAAGGAAGCGGTTGCCGTTGAAACTTCGAGCAACTAACTTCGTGATTGAACGCCATGGCGTGAATAGATTCCAACATAGAAAGGAGTTTTACTCGGATGGTGAGCCAATTAAACTGTGAATGGTGAAAAAGACTGTATAAGATCTGGTTACGTTGGTGGACAGTTAGTAACATTTTGTCCTTCTCCTTTTTCACCATAGAAAGGAGTTAGAACTTTTTGTGCTTTGGGTGAGATCCAGTCCAGCTGAGTGTTCTGCATGCATAGGAGCACCACCACCCTCAAGGGCGAAAGCAGTAAAAGCAGTCTTATTTTGAATTTGTCAAAAAATTGACACTGTTCTTCAATTTGTGGCAGCCAAAGGAAAGCAAGACATTTGGTATTAAAAAATCGTGAAACTTCAGTATTATTACCTCGGATATGCTGTATATTCGTAAATTGGCACCGTGCATAAGTAATCAACTAGCGCCATAACGAACTTGGCGCTGCGCTTCGAACCTGCAGATTTGTCACACGCGCCATTCGTTGTTCACCGCAGCGGTGCATACCACCAGGAAATCCTGAATCCTCATGTGCATGTGTGTGTGTGTGTGTGTGTGTGTGTGTGTGTGTGTGTGTGTGTGTGTGTGTGTGTCCCATATGGTGCAGTGGTATGTGCAGCGATTTCCAATCGATAGATTGCGGGTTCGATTCCCGACGATTATGGTCACACACGTCTTTCTTCTCTTTCTCAGGCTCTTCCTGACTTTTCTTTCATTCTCCTGGGTGGTTACCAACAGCCAGTGCATGCCAGAGTATGTGGTGTGATGTGTGTGCGGGAAAAAAAATTAAAAATTAAAATAAAAAGACCAAAAATAGGGATTCACTGGCCAGAAAATGCCACTCCAAATAGCTGTATGGTGTAGACCGGGCTGAATAGTGACGGTCAATTTTTCAGCCTTGCAAGCTGTTGAATGGTGTAATCCCAGCACAAGTTGCTATGGCTTCTGCCGTAGCATTGCTATCATCGCCTCCGGCGATGGGCGTCAAAGGTCAAGGTGTGTGTGTGTGTGTGTGTGTGTGTTCATATACTTTCTATTTGAAGTATATATACCTGTTAACCATGGACTGCTTCTGGCTAGATTAATTCTTGTGTAATCAATGGTGCTAGTGAAGCTTATATCAGATCCACTCTGATTTAGCCACCCACACTAGTACCGAGTATTACCTTCACTGGGGGTACCTGCAGTTGGATCCCGGGACGGATACCCTGATGCCGTCAATCCTTTTTCTGCACCTTGTCCTCACCCACTTACTGAGGTGTGGTGAGCCCATAAGTGGGATCATTTCAAGTCCACCCTAGTTTGGGGATTTCAGGGGGTGTCGGCCGTTGGGTGGTTCAATGGCCAATTGAGTCATCTTTCCAAGATTCCTTTTGAGTCTCTCTCCCCTCTCCCGGGGAGACCCACGTGACCAGTTTTGGCAGTGAGCAAGTACAAGTACAAGTGTGTGTGTGTGTGTGTGTGTGTGTGTGTGTGTGTGTGTGTGTGTGTGCGCGTGCGTACCAGGTGTGCATTGGTGGCCGATTCACATGGCTTCACCAGTTGTGTGTATTAGACAGTTATCTGGCGCTTGTCTTGGTCTGTCTCATTCAGATCTTGTTCGCTATCGTTGCTATAAGAGAAAATGTGTGGGTGCACATCCGGTGTATTTGCGGATTTGCGTACATCGCTTGCGACAGGCGTATACATGGTACACGGTGTGTGTTTGTGTGTAGCGTGCACAATTTTGTTTTCAGTCTCCAACGTGGAAGTCGTATTGATACTGTACTGTAGTCTTGGCTACAAGTACTTTATCGTGGCACTGACCATTGACTTGATTGGTGCAATTCTGGGCATTCGTCTAACCACCTGACTGTTAAATGCACCTCACCTCTTCATGGGCTCAGAATGTCAAAGTGCCTGGGCACTGAGTCACTATGCACCATACAATGGGCACTATGCGCCATACAATTTTAGAATTTGTTTTGGACTGCTTTCAGTTGTTATAGCACTCGTGAACAAAAATTTGAAAGGCTGTCACTTTCTGAATTTTTCACCGATTTTTATGAAAGGTCTAAGGTTAATTTTTTGCTGAATATGACCAAAAATATTATAGTTCCTGAAGACCCTGCACAAATTTTTTTTCTTCAGTTATTTGGCCTTGGATATACCACGGGCGTCGGACACGGTGCGGTCACCACGGTATTGACCGTACCACTTTTTTTCCCAGGTGCCCTGTGAATGAATAAAAATAATTATTAATACACTTATCTGGGATGTAAATTTCCAAAATTTTCCGCTCAGCCACCCCTCTCCCCACGAGTGAAATGTACTTCAAATGGCTGATCGCACCACACTAAAATATACCTTTCGACACCCCTGTATACCATACCTGGACTAGAAGTGAATGGTCACTGGAGACTCTTCTTCAAAAAGAAGTTGCATAACACTTCAAAATTGTTGAAGTTAAAACTAAACTGAGAGGCTATGTCTGTGTGAAGAGAAAGGGCCAATAAGTTACGAGTTGTGACTAACATGTTGGTCCTTTCTTTGTACATGAATACTTTTGGCTCAACCTGCGAGTTTTTGTGGTAGATTTTTCTTGTTTTTAGAACACGGACGCTCCACGGAGATTTTTCTTGTGACCAGAAAAAAAACAAATACCACTACTATTTGACGGACCAACTGAAGATGGCATCAACAAATAATGCGAGTTTTGTTTGTTTGTTTTTCATCTGATGCTGCTGCAGTTCACACTGTCGTGCAGCAAGAAGAAGAGAATATCTACAACAACGGCAATTCCAATCACATCATCTCCGTGCAGACACTGGCCGGCAAGAATGCAGCGGTGGCACGAGGGCCGGCCGTGGAGACCCAGGACAGCGTGGACTCCAACGGAATTTACGACAACATCCCGCCACAGAAGAGAAGACCTCCGGCGGATAAACAGGCCTCGGAGTCGATCAAGCAGGACAGCGTCGACTCCAACGAAGTGTACGACAACATACCCGCGCCGAAGAAAATAGATACCGCTTCTGCCACCGCTCCCAAACCAGCATCGAGGAAAGGCCACGCACCGCCAGTGCCAGCATCGAGAGTGCCATCAAAGGTACCGGCTGCAACAGAAGCCATGAGCGGCAGCACCCCAGCAACGGCCAAGGGAAAGAAGAGTGCATCGGTGACAAGAAGCAAGACGAATGCGTCGAACTGCAGCACCCCGGTTACGGCTGGCGCCGCCACTGCAGCTGCTCAGAATGAAGCGCTGTACGGCAATGGCCAAGTCATATCCATCGACGAAGACGAGTACGACATCGTGGATGCACCGTCATCGCGCATAGCGCCGATACTGCCAGGCGAGAGAGATCCTGCTCCAACGCCGGGCAGTGCCGCTGGCAAATCTCCGCGCGGCAGCGTTTGCAGCGAGTTGGGGCTGTTGAATGACACTGCCTTCACCCTTAACGCGAGCTCCGATGAGAACGGGCGGATCACCAGCCCAGCCGCTCAGGACCCATCAGAAATTATCTACATTGGCGACAATCCAGGCGAGGAGGAGTATGGTGATATCGAAATCTGCCGCCAGACCGAAGTAGAGGAGGAAAACGTGTACGAGCAGGACATAGCCCAGCATTGCATGCTGCGGCAGAAAGAAAGCGTAGACAATTGCAGCACGCTGCCGGGTATCTACAGTAACACGTCGCCCAGGGGGAGCGTGTCCAGCGAATGCGCCCTGCTGTGAGCTGCCAGGGAGAAACCGGGCCCAAGCCGTTCGCAGCACTACTGGTGACTACGTGTGTTGTGCACAGCCGCCGCCACCAACACCTGATTGTACTCTTCAAAGCTGTGCAACCCGTAGCGTGTGGACGGCGTGGCGTTCCACAGCTGCGCTTGTCCGTTAGCTCGGTACGCTGGCTGCTTCTCGGTCGCCATGCCAACAACTCTTGGTAGGTAGTCTGATGACGTCATCAACTGTTTGCTGTCGCAGAGAGCAGTCCAATGCCGCACACACAAATAGAGTGCACAACTGCAGCTGTCTATACAGTTTAAACCGTTATGAAGTATGACGTCTACTCCTCAGTTATTATAATTATTTTATTCTCCTATTCCCGTTGAACACTCGTGCATTTTCTTATGCTCGCAATTATACTACATCATTAATGCCACAATTTGATTTGCCCCTAATTGCCGCTCAGTAATCAATCCCCAAGGCCTTTGCAAGGTGTGTAGCCTTCTCCTTGGCCTCTCAACCCCAGCCCTCTCTCTCTCTCTCTCTCTCTCTCTCTCTCTCTTGTGGCTTGCAGGCAACGTTTTCAATAGGTTTTCCCCTTGTGTAACCCCCCCAGCCTCACAGCGTGGCTTTGGCTTGGCCATCTGTCCTGGCCCACGTTTCTCCTGTTTGCTAATTTCCCACCCCGGCAGACACTGTCTATGCGTTGTCGTCATTTATATATTCCTTGCGATTTTTGCTCGTCGGAATTCTTGACACTGGCCCATTGCACCCACTTAACTTATATGCCAAGAGTTCACATACCGGATTGACCAAGACATCCGTTATAATTCCGTTGATCTCATTCCAGGAATAAGTAGAACTAGTATTTTATTTCAAATGGTGAACGGTACTATTCGGCCAATAAAATGTAAAGAACTCTTCCTCTCCTCTCCTCCATGCGCTCTCACAGCCGACTCACTGGTTGGTGTGTGTAATGGCTACCGAGGGTAGCAGCGAGTCGGCTGTGAGAGCGCATGGAGGAGAGGAGAGGAAGAGTTCTTTAGTATTTTATTATTTCTAGTACACTAATGCCTCATTTATCTGGGTGGTCCAGGACCGGGCACTGTCCGTAACTCCGAAACACATACATTTTGATGGGGGGGGGGGGGGAAAGGACATAGATATTCGCTACGTCGTTCATCCAGTCACTACTATCTCCACACTGAGAAACAGTGACAAAAGAGTAGTAATATTTCCACTGAAACTCGCCCAAAGAGCGCCCGGCGGCAGACCGAAGTGCCCGTCGTCACTTCGTTGTCTGGATAAACCGAAGTTCGGGTATATTGTATGCAGGTATGGATGTCAAGCGAAATAACAAGTTCGCCGAACAGGTGTCACCGGTTTCTCTTGAACGTTTCCAGGCACAGGCAATGGAGAAAATAGTGATGATCCTCTACTGTCAACCAGGAAACCTTTTGCGATGTGGAATCCTTCGCTGTTTTCGCAATGGGTGTGAAATGGCCAAAGTGAGCCGGTGCGAACTGTAGAGCCGCAGTAAAGAAACTGAGGAAAATGATTCCAATCACAAACATCTCCAGGTGAAAATGTGTCTGTGCTCGCAAATCGCAAACTAAAACGGGCGCAAACGTTTTTGCCGGGTAACAGTGTGAATCGAGAACAGAGAGTCTACCAGCCGATCCAGACTATAGGACATGTGAACACAATAATAGAAAAGCTGACAGGATCGCTTTTCTAAACGAGAGAGCTTGGAAGCTCAGGGCCCTACGCTATGCTTTGTTACTTAGCTCATCGTGCATGTTGTGGGAACTGATGGAAATGTTTCCTGGAACGGCGCTGACTCTGCCGAGCACGCGCGTTCTGGAGTCGACGGGATCTCTCTGCCGACGTTTCCTGTGACCGGCGCTGACTCGCCCGTTCACTCCTATTTTGGAAACGACGGGATGTCTCTTCCAAAGTATGTTTTTACTGACGCATCCTGTCACCTAATCGGCAACTAACATCCATTCTAATTTCATTTCCTCCTCGTCTCCCTATTTCTTTCAAGAAAGTCTCTCTATACATCAGGGAGTCGTACTGTATTGGCAGCTACCCTAACGGGTCACGCCGCCCACCACCCAAGCATGGGTATGATGAGGGACAGTGGCAACAGAAACAAAAAAACAGCAAGCAGGGAGAGAAAGCAAGAGAAAGAGGGCGATAGTAGTACATCTGGTGTGCGACGTATAGAAAAGAGAGATGACAAGAGATGCGCACAAAATAGGAAACAATAATTATTTTTGCAGTTCCGAAACAATCAACCAGGTGATGGAGTGTGGGCACCCGAAGTCCCACCTGGACTCCACTGGAAGAACATCCCACGCAGGGATATCAGCGATAGGCCAAGCGTTGAAAAACAGCCATGAGGACATCGTCTAGAAGTCCACCGCGCTCGAACTGAAATTGCAGGTTCAAACAATTTCCCACGCGGCGTCCGGCTGCGTAAAGCTGTGTTCACAACTGGCGCGTGGACGCGGTACGCTTGCGGTTCATGCGCCCCCAAACGCGCGCTCAGCCTTTCACAAAAAACAGCAATCCGAGTCGTATTTAGCGCGTGCGACACCTTTGAGTACTAATTTTTTGACCCCGCCAGTCAAAGTGACTGGCATGTACGCTGATACGCGCCTGATACGCGCTGAAAATTCCAACATGTTGGAAGTTCCATTTCGGCGCGTTTCCGTACGCATGGCGCCCCAAAAGCCAGCAAAAATACGCACAAACGCGTGGTTTCACGCGTACACGCGCCAGTTGTGAACACAGCTTAACTCTTCTCCCTGCATCACCATCCATCTCCAGCAACCGTCTCCACTCACAGCTCATGCCTCTGCCACCACTAGACTGCACTGTACTCCTCCGAGCTTCGCAGTTTGAAACCATTCGGGGGTCAGCTACACCACCGCGAATGGAGAGACGAGGACGACAACGGTCGTGACTGAAAAGACACTGCCTTGGCGACCGCGTCGCGGAACCCTCGCCCCAGCAAATTCAGAAATACGCCAGGGGCAACTCTGGTGGACCCAGAGCCACCCCCTTGGCAAGACTAGTAAGGCTGTGTTTACATGAGAAATTTCAACCCGGGTCGAGTTCAGCCCGGGTTGAAAGTCTGTACGATAGACAAAAGAGGTGAGCGTTTACATGAAGTCAGTTGACCCGGGTCAAATACTGATATGCCGCCAAAAGTCCACTTCTACAATCCTGTATGGTCACGTGAATCCGTTCGCGCGAAATTTGCATCTGCAGTGCCGTTCAAACCTGGCGCGAGATACGCACAGAAGTACGTTTGTACGATTTTCTTGACCCGGGTTGATTTCAACCCTCCCCTTGGGGGGAGGGTTGAAATCAACCCGGGGCGAAATTTCAACCCGGGTCAAGCGCAATGCGTCATGTAAACGCGCCATTCATTTTATGCACATGGCGGGTTGAAATCTGACCCGGGTCGAACTCAACCCGGGTTGAAACGCCTCATGTAAACACAGCCTAAGAGGAACGACTGAAAACTCAGATTAAACGGAGCTACGAAAAGTGCAACCGTCCCCTTCAAGCACAGTTGCAACACACAGGGAGTCGTATACATGTACCGTAAAGTACCGTTGATCCGCCCCCTCTCTAATTCCCGCCCCCTGTCGATTTTCTCCTTGTGAAGCGACTTCGCCGTATACAACGAAATACGATGTTGAACCGACGCATGCACTGCTGTACACAATATTTGCCAATCCAGGATCAAAATGTGCACAATTCAGCACATTGAGTCTGATCCTCTACGTTGTTGTACATCGTACTGCACTTGACAGCCTGATCTAATTCCCGCCCCCTGCCGAAAACCCAGCTGGGAAGCGACATGGCGTGGGGGCGGATCAACGGTACTTTACGGTACATGTACATAATATTGTGGCCAGCTGTTTGTAGCCAGCTGTGTTTGATGGTACGGTACGGTACGGGACAGATACGGGTACCAGCAAATGGCCAGCTGTGTTTGATGGTGCGGTACGGGACAGATACGGGATAGCGCCAGGCGTGACACAAACAAACAAACAAACAAACAAACAAACACCAAATTAAAGCTGTGTGGACCCTGGCTAGCGCCAGACGTTACTGAAGTACCGTCTTCTGCATAGCTACGGGAATAAAAACTCCTCTTGTACGGGCAAAACGAGAGAGCTTGGAAGCTCGGGGCCCTACGCTATGCTTTTTTGCCTTGATGACCTAGACAAAAAAAGCATAGGGATGTTATAAATTCTTTAAAAAAAAAATATAAGACATAACCTGGGATTCGAACCCGCACTATCGCGCGCCCTGCATGCATCCCCCGATACACTTCGCATACATACCCATTCTTCCAAGTTGCTTCACGTTATGATCTTGCATTTGAAAGCCCTATTTGAATATGCATTGTGGCCAGCCGTCTTTGATGGTATGGTACGGTACGGGATAGGTACGGGACAGGTACGATCGAGGGTAATACGACACCGTCTACCGCCTTGATGACGGCAAAAAAAGCATAGGGATGTTATAAATTTTTCAATTCTTTGAAAGCCCTATTTGAATATTGCCGCCAGCTGTATTTGGCCAGCTGTGTTTGATGGTACGGTACGGTACGGGATAGCGCCAGGCGTGACACAAACAAACAAACACACAAATACCAAACGAGAGAGCTTGGAAGCTCAGAGCCCTACGCTATGCTTTTTTGCCTTGATGACCTAGACAAAAAAAAGCATAGGGATGTTATAAATTCTTTAAAAAATTCCTTTTTTTAAGACATAACCTGGGATTCGAACCCGCACTATCTCGCCCTGCATGCATCCCCCGGTCTTTAAAAAGTTCCTTTTTTAAGACATAACCTGAGATTCGAACCCGCACTATCGCGCCCTGCATGCATCCCCCGATACACTTCGCATACATACTAATTCTTCCAAGTTGCTCCACATTATGATCTTGCATTTGAAAGCCCTATTTGAATATGCATTGTGGCAAGCCGTCTTTGATGGTACGGTACGGTAGGGATAGGTACGGGACAGGTACGATCGAGGGTAATACGACACCGTCTCCCATACCGTACCATCAAACACAGCTGGCCACATACAGCTGCCCGCAATATTCAAATAGGGCTTTCAAACGCAAGATCATAACGTGAAGCAACTTGGAAGAATGGGTATGAATGCGAAGTGTATGGGGGAATGCATGTAGGGCGATAGTGCGGGTTCGAATCCCAGGATACGCCTGAAAAAAATAGGAGAATTGAAAAATTTATAACATCCCTATGATTTTTGCCGTCAGATACGGGATAGCGCCAGGCGTGACACAAACAAACAAACAAACACACAAATACCAAACGAGAGAGCTTGGAAGCTCAGGGCCCTACTCTATGCTTTTATGCTTTTTTGCCTAGCTCATCGTACATGTTATAAGAACTGATGGAATTGTCTTTTTCCGTTGATTAGCCACATCACTGTATTGCAAAAACGTTTCAATCGGTTTGAATATTATGAGTTAGGCAAAAGTATTTGCAGAATTTATTGAGGATTGTTATTTCTCTAATAATCATCTACTTTTGTTTTGCTCCTTCTTTAATTTTTATCTCCTTATATTGTAAATCAACAAATTTTGGCCGATGAGAAATAGAAACCTCTCGATTAGAGAGGTTAAGATGCACGTTATTTCCGACGTGACGCGCAGTTTCACGTCAAATTTGAAATCGATCGGTATTTTTGCTCTCACATGCATCCATTGCTCAATCATGCATCATTTGCCTATAATTATGACAAACGTTGGCCTGCGATTTACTT